GCGCGGCCGACGTACTCCGACGTGAGGCGCATGATGTGCAAGCTCAAGGGGTTGATGCACTGCGGGATCTTGTGCTCGGCGATGCTCAGCGGCACGCGCTCGCCTGCGAGAGCGATCCCGATCAGAGACTGGAGGTCGGCCACCGTTCGCGCCGCGGAGCGACGCCCTCACCCGTGTCGAGGTTCAGCACCGTGACCTGCTCCAGGATCTCCAGGTCGGTGAGGCGCTGGCCCGAGGTGGTGCGCGTGCGCACGGCGCCCAGCGCCAGCGCCGCCTCGTCGCCCGCCGAGCGCCGCCGCGAGCCCGCGCCGCCCGCGCCGTCCGCGCCGCGCCTGCGACTCGTCACTTGTGCCCGAGGCCCGGCTCTCGTCTCCGGCGAGGCGCGCCAGAGGGGAGACGAAATGTCGTTCTTACCATTGACTTACAATTATATGGGCGTCGGGTCCGCGCTCCAAAGTGTCCGAACTTGTAGGGCGTTCAAATCGTATACAGAGCGTCATTCACGCTTTAGTCTTCGTTTGTTCGACTGACAGCGAAGCAAGCAAATTTAGACAGTACTGCGATGACATTATAATTTAAATTCAACGTTTTAGCTTTTTCATATTCCTTGACATGTCACTACGTTTAAATAGGTTGACTTGGGACATTTTTTTCGTTGTTTCTGTATTAGACCCGTCGTCCATTTATGTGTAAGTCAATGTTTCTTACAAACTATTCTACCATAGCGTTACAGCCCGAATTCGAAACAATTGACTTTCGTCGTCGATTGTTTCACTTCAAAGCGACCAGTTAACTTGAACCTCGTTATAACGGACGAAAATTGCAAAATTACATATTTTATATTTAATTACCGGTGGAAATTGATTCAGTTTGTTTCGTAATTAGATGTTTTGTTGTTTTTCCCCACACCACCGAGTGGAACAGCACACCATTGTTAGAGATACTATTGTCTTTATTACAATAAACACAGAATATTTTTGGAATATACACACAGGTCAGTTGTTAGCGCTATACTATTTCAATGCAAACGAGAGTTGATATTTCGACCCCTCCTACGTAAAGTATCGTATGTCGAAATTGCCAAGTTTACAGGGGAGCGTTTTAAAGTTAAACATAACACGTGACTTTAGCATTTCTCAGTTTTATTCGGTAAAGCTCGTTCTCACATAGAGTATTATAAAATCCCAGATTCGTCGGTTAGATGAACAACCACAATTTATTTTAAAATTAGACTCATTTCAGTGAATTGAAAACTTTAAAACGCTCCCATGTAAAGTTGTTAATTTCAACATACGATACTTTACTTAGGAGGGGTCGATTTATAAGTGATGTACCACTGATGAGTTACCTGGAACGTATAGCCCTTATTTCGTCTCTATATCTGGTTATATACTCGACGATTTCTAACGATCGTACCTCGTAGCGGATGAACCGAGGCTGGAATGGCCCGTCGTTGGGGCCGTACGACTTTCACTGTGAGTTCTAGTCCCGCCGCTGCGCGCTCTGTCGTCGTCTTGCGGTCGAACTACGTACTCGCCTGTAATCAAATAAGTTTTGATTATTAAACGGTGATACAATAAATTATGTTATATACGAGCGTCTTTATTCAGGCAATCAACAATACGAGCCGTAATAGATCTCTATTACTTAAATAGTACAGTCTATATTAACTGGACGGTAAATAAGAAATTACTAATGAAGTCTGCTTGAAGCCCGAAGGCTAAGACTAAGGACTTGAATAACTCGAGTTTTCTATGTTTTTTTAACGTCCGTGACACATACAATGTTTATTTCTTGTATGAATAATGGTTAACAACACAAACAATTATGGATTTTTTTTTATGGACAGATAGCCAGCTTGCTATTCTGCCATAAATAATACAACTCAAACTAAAATGTTGTAACAAGCAAAGACGCATCAGCGATGACAAATTGTACAAAAAAATTTGATAAATCTTTATACACAAAATAATTAAACTCTACTATAAGATATTCTTAAGAGAGAGCAGAGGAAAAATTCCTAATCTTCGATTTGATTTTAGAGGGGTATATCCACTTTAAAGTTAAAAATAAAATATTGTATGAGTAACTACACGATATTCAAGCATAGACATTAATCAGAAACATAAAACAATAAAGTTTCCTCGATATATAAAAATCACGAAATGACCTATAATTTTCACATTTTTTCGATTCATCCTCGAAATGCTACAGGTTATTAGGACAAAAATTAGATAATTAATTATATTTATGCATGATCGAGAACTGTCACTACAGATTTTTTTAATCCCTTTAGTTTTAGAGTTATTCCGCTAAAACGAATCTGGTACTTTTAATGCGCAAAATTCAACATCTCCTGTCACATGTCACGCGAACTTCAGGCATATATTTGTTTCACAAATTTGGGCGGAGCCAACATCAAAACTTTTTTGGCATGCTCCCTCTTAACAATAAGTATTTAAGTAATATATGGCGAAATTACAATTAAATTCCTGTTAAGAAAACATTTTAAGCGAATATTTTAATTTTGAACTTAACTTAACCTCCTTACTTGAACTTGAACCTGGCTTATGTAAGGAAGTATATTGTGCTACAAATTTAAAAAAAATATCTTTACCGACTATGGCTGTAATGGAAAGCAAAAAAGACCCGTGAGCTTTATTCGGTGCATTATAGTCAAGGTAGCCAGGCAATAATACCATTTACGAGCAAGTGTGATGAATAAAAAAATTAACATTTTTACACTAGCGTCACAGTACATTTATGAAACTGTAATTTTCTCAAATATAGTCGGAAATGTTTGCATTACTTTCTAAAAATTAACACGGAAAGTTTGTCATTTACGAATCGTGCAACTTCTTCCCGGCCAAAGCCTGCAAGGTATTATAATTATTATTTTTTATTATTTGGAAAACAAACAGTATTTACTTTGTTTACAAGATTATAGTACAAAAGTTATTACTTAAACCAGAAAGTTTCCACGAATAAACGTAACTTAAAAAAGAACGAAAAACTACTTGTTATTTTTTTTAACACAAAGTAAATAAAAATAAATAAACTAAAAAACAAATAACATACATTATTGTTCATAAATGGACTTGACAAATTTTGAAACGGACAAATAAAATATATATACATCTAAATGATTCTTATTGTACGCATTACAAGCTCTAAACAAGAAAGCGTTACTTCAATATTTAGTTTTACAAAGGCACACAAAAGACACTTTTCAAACGAGAATTAGATCCAGGACATCTCAAATTAATATTATGTAATAAAAAGCTTCAATCTTATTTCTCAAAATATTATATAGTAAGATTTGGTCCTTCGCGGCGCGTCGTTTTCCCAGTGTAACTATGTCATGATTAGGAAACGACGGATGCCTATAACTTAAGAGGAAGCATGCCAAAAAAGTTTTGACGTTGGCTCTGCCCAAATTTGTGGAACAAACATATGCCTGAAGTTCGCGTGACATGCAACAGGAGATGTTGAATTTTGCGCATTAAAAGTACCAAATTCGTTTTAGCGGAATAACTCTAAAACTAAAGGGATTAGAAAAAAATCCGTAGTAACAGTTGTCGATCATGCATAAATATAATTAATTATCTAATTTTTGTCCTAATAACCTCAAGCATTTCGAGGATGAATCGAAAAAATTTGAAAATTAGAGGTCATTTCGTGATTTTTATCTATCGAGGAAACTTTATTGTTTTATGTTTCTGATTAGTGTCTATGCTTGAATATATCGTGTAGTTACTCATACAATATTTTATTTTTAACTTTAAAGTGGATACCCCTCTAAAATCAAATCGAAGATTAGGAATTTTTCCTCTGCTCCCTCTTAATAGCTTCCTAATTTTTTACTGAATGCGCTCAATGCCAGAAATATAGATACTGTACTGAGGTAATACGAAAATCCATTACTATCCGCTGCTCTGAACTTTTAAATCTATCAACTAAAGAAAAACTCTTACAGCCAACTGTATATATAAATAGTTACTACATTACAGATACATCATTTTGATACGAAATCGAAAATACCTACGCTATAATACAAAATCTGACTAATGACACCAGGCGCTCACTACGAGGAAAAAGGAACATAAGCCCGCGCTCATAGAAGTGAAAATAACGTTGCCCGCCGTGTGCAGTCGTGCGGAACCGAATGCTGAGGTTGTACAAGAATTCTAATGTAAATGAAAGATTTGTTTGAGCGCTTGCACTGTCGGCGATACACTCATCGGTAGGCACTTATCGCGTAACCTCCAGAGAATGACGGAGCTCTGGTAATTGCGAGAATTAAAATACCTACCCGTACTGCTTACTTTAACAAAATGCGGTACAATAAACTAAAGTGTTTTGGTATTTTTTTCTGTTTTTTCGTTTCGTTTTTGTTTTCGTGAAATTGAAAATCGAAAATGAGTTCTAGTGAAAAGAGCAATTACGAAAATACAGTAATAGATACACATTTAAGCACATCATCAGAAGTTCTACTATTAATGTCCCTGGAAAACAATAACATTTCCTATTACCAATTGTCTAAACATGTCAAATATTACTTTCAATTTTAATTAATATTTTTAAAATTTTATGTATTATACATCTTTTTCCCTTCAATCTTTTATTATTTCCTCACATTGTTTTAGAAAAGCACTATATACGACTCGGCGGGAACGAAGATTGCTTGATTAATACAAGGTATTAATTACTCATACTCATCCAGCAATCCCTTACTTCCCGGCCCCTGCAATAATGTACTATTTTTGACACAAAATAGTGATACTACATTAACACGAGGAATAAAAATGACAGTTCTTGTTAGCCGCCTAAAGTCAAAGGGCAATGTATACCTGTAACAAGATCTTTCAAAAGTAATTTCAATCTATTTTTAGAAAGTTGAAGTGTGGCGTACCCCGGACGACGTCGGTGATATGCAGCGAGTCCGGCGGCTGGTGCTGCTGGTGCTGGTGCAGGGGCGGCGGCGGCCTCGGCGCGGTGCTGCCGCGTGACGAGCCCGAGCCGCTGCCGCGCGACCGCTCGAGGGACCGCGACTCGTGCACGCCGTTCGACGACCGGTCCAGCGCTGGCCGAGTGCGGGAACATCCAGAAAATTTATTATTCTAACAATTAGACGATTACATCGCATTTGAGGTGGGCGCTTAAACGAAAAACAGTTAAAATAGTTAGCTTTGAAAATAAAAATTTAAGCACGCTTTTCAATTTAAGCGTAATCGTTGGTCAGTTCAATTCTCGACAACTTAATTTTTTACAACACGCTTTTTTTATAATATCAAGTGACAAGTCGTGCGCCTGTCAAGATTTGAGGGGCACTGCCACTGCGCTCGTCACCCTGAAACATAAGTTGAAATGTCCCATGTGCCTGTAATTGCACCAAATTTATTGTTTCAAGTCCCGCCATCTATGTTTCCTAAACAAATGAATTCATCAATGTGAATTATAATTTTAAAAATAAAACTTAAAACCTTTAGTGGTCTACTCATGTTTTTCACTACGCACACAACGTTGGAAGCTTTTTTAACATAAAAGTCTACGCGCTTAAACGTTTTTACGATTTTGTAAGCTTCAAACCAAAAACGCTTGAGTCTGCAAAGAGAGTATGAAAATTCATTACTGTTCACTTCTATAAACTTTTAAATCTACCTACTAATAATGAAATACGTAAATAGGCAAAAGAAAAACTCATTCAGCCAGTTACCCAGTGTTCATAGTTGGGAAAATTAAAAATACCTACCTGTACCGCATACTTCAAAAAAAAAAAAAGAAAATGACGGTAAAATTTAAACTGTTTTGGCATTCTTTTGATTTTTCGCCTTTTTTATATTTTGGTCGCGAAAATGAGTGCTAGTGAGAAGAGCGATAACGAAAATACAGTAACAGACACACATTCAAACACATCGTCAGAAGTTCAGCAGACTACTATTAATGTGCCTGGGAAAACAATAACACTTTCATTTAGCAATTGTCGTTACATGTCAAATATTACTTTTAATATTTCCCTCTTTTTAGTCTTTTATTATTTCCTCACATTGTTTGAGAAAAATACTATACATGCTTCGGCGGGAAAGGGGATTGCTTGACTCGTATTAATACAAGGCTTCGTTAGCGTTCGTCCTAGTAACTCATACTCGTCCAGCAATCCCTTACTTCCCGACCTCTGCAATAATATACTATTGTTTGTATTAATGGCGATCAGATCGACCCCTCCTACGTAAAGTATCGTATGTCGTAATTGCCAAGTTTACAGGGAAGCGTTTTAAAGTTCTCCGTTTTATTCGGCAAAGCTCGAAAGCTAGGATTTTATAATACTCTATGTGAGTAGCGAGCTTTGTCGAATAAAACTGATAAATGCTAAAGTCACGTATTGTGCTTATTTCAGTGAATTCAGAATATTTAAAAGGCTCCTCTGTAAACTTGGCAATTTCGACATACGATACTTTACGTCGGAGGGGTGGAGACTATCCCTTGATATTACATTAAAGAGGAACGCGTCGGTAAGGTCAGTGACACCGCGGCATAGCGTCGGTATGTACTATGAAATGTATAAGAGAATATGCGATATTAACACCGCGTCTTTACGTTACTGCCGATCCGCCGCCGTAAAACTGAAGAGGTGTTCACTTATGTACCGTATTTAGAATGCGACAGCTCAAGCGAATCTTGAAATTCCCTCGTAAGCGACTCTATCGTGCTCGCTGGGCTGGGCAACGCCATGGTTTGGTTCAGGAGATTCAATGGCAGCGGCTAGAACAAAAATTATCATTATAATAGCATAAACAAGGTCTTCTCAAAAGGAAGACTCTCGATCAACAATCTCAGCGTGATTTGCGGGATGCGGGAGGAATGCGCTCTTGATTGGTCAACTGCATTTCCCGTCTCCTCATTGGTCCAGACAGTGTCAGGTCGAAGAATGATTGGACGCGTTCTCCGAATGCCAAGAAGTTTTAAAAAAATGGTATAGATAAAATCGATCCCTCCTACTACGTAAAGAATCGTAAGCCTAAATTCACAACTGAAAGGTGAACGTCTATTGAAAGGACTAAAATGAAGATAATACCTGCGATTCTTGAGGTGCTGCAATTAAAGTTTTTAAATATTTTTATCACACATACACTACGTATTTTTATTTAATAAACCAGATGCTATATAAATGACGCAAACATTTTTTTCCTTCACCTGTAAAGTCAATGTAAAATTGTCAAAATTGAGATAGTACTGGTTGCCAGTTCACAGTCGATATACTCATTATTACAGCTCAAACTGAGTTCTTAAAATGATAGGGATTAGATGGGACTCCGATCTACTTGCTAGATTCAACGAACTTCACGTCCTGGGAGAATGATGAACTTAGTAGGTACCATATAGTCATTTCATTCATTCGTTCATTCATTTTACTTTTATTCTGTAATGTTTGTATTAACAGAAGAATAAATAATTTGTAAGTGTACTAACAAAAGTGGATTGTAAATTGTCTGCAATAAATGATTTTTATTATTTTTCCTGCTTTATAATTTCACTGCTTAATATAATAGACCTAAATAAAAATGAAGTAATTTATGAAAAATGCACCTATTTATGTGGTTTACGACAGACTACGTAGGACGAATCGAAATAAAGACTGACCTTATATTATTATATTTTATTACTTGGTTTTGTGAGTAATTGGACTGCATGGGTACAGTGTAACAATCACAAATATATTAATTAATAATTATATAAAAAATATAATAATTACAACGTCTAATTTATTTATTATAAAAACCTTTGCATGCCTCAAGACAGACTCAAAATGCGTTGTAACGACATTTTAACCTACTACAAAGAAATTATTTAATTAGATTTTGAAATAAGGCTAGATTCTTTTCGCTTATCGTAGCGAAGGCTAATGGTTTGACCTACTGCCTTTCAAGCAAAGGACGTGGGTTCGAACTGGGCTCGCGCCTCTGAGTTTTTCGGTATTTATGTGCGAAGTTTAATATGAAATATACCACGCATTTTGATAGAAATTTATTTTGTCATTTTAACGGAATTACTATTATTTTAATATTTCTATGCCGCTTGTTGCAAAATATACTGAACTTGTTTTCAATTTTGTAACATCTGCTTTTATTGATTATCACATTTACAAGAAATAAATGCTATTCTATTCTATTCTATCATATTCTATTCTATTCATGAGCTTTAAGAGTGTACAATATATATGCGAAAAGTTAATAAAGACGAAAAAATCCTAAAATCTAATTAACATTAATTATAAAACAATATGAAATTAAATAATGTTACTTACAAAGCAATTACATACATTAGAGTGAGTAAATGTAATTTAATTACCTAATAAGTTATATTAGGAACTGTTTATGGAGATATTTTTACATTTAAAAAACTATTAAGCATTAAGTTGGAATAATGACTAAATAATCTCTAAATAGCACGTAACCAAGGCCATTAAACTGAAGACACTAATTAATTTATCAAACAATATCGGTTTTATACAGGAAATACATCATACAGACGACAATTTCTTGGGCGGGTCTTTCAAAACTCAATTTACTCTTTTTTCTCTAATGCTGCTTGTCAAAATATATATGTCGGAGATAGTTGCTACTACTAAACGTAATGTAATAAAATGTCATTATTTTTACTATTGTCTTGTAAGGTGTAACATTTGGCAACATGTTCTTTTCTAATTATTATTAGCTATTTACAAATTATTCTGATAACCTCGTCGATTAGACTAGTTATTGGTTTAGATACAAAATGGAAAGATTGTTTTGTTTGTACATTGCAATCAATTTGTAAACAATAATTATACTCCGTCTAAGCATTTATTTAACTCTTGATAGCTCGAATTCTGATCAATTAGTGATGTCCCAATGCGTTTCCGATTCGATTTTTTCATAACAAGCGATTTTATTTATGAAGAAGTTTAAATGGTAAATGTGAGTGGGTTCAAGAATGAATAATTAATGTTAATGAGAGTAAATAAACCGACTTTGTATTTTACGAAAACTTATTATAATTATTTATAATTTCTTTCATTCCCTTATAATTTATTAGACAGGTACCAAAATTTATCAACTTGAATAATCTTCGATACATAATCTGTTGGCTCGATATATATTGGAGGCAAAAAGCACGTCGCTTCACTAAAATTAAAAAATAAAAGAGTCCAGGAAGTATTACATTATTTTGTCTACGGTTGTATGTCAATAATTCCGGTACATTGGAGGCATGCATATGTCAAAGGTTAAATAATAGTATTGAAATATTTGATTATTTTGACACTCAATTTCTATTAGATTTGAGGTCATTTATTATTGCGAAGTAAGTAAACGCGTGGCGCATTTCCTAGCGCCATCAGACAGAGTTAGTTTACATACAAAAATTGGATGTGCTAATAGCTCCAAATGATGGGACGAAGGCAGGGAGTTAAGAGCTATGTAAGTGAAAATAACCTCAACGTGCAGGTTCTCGAGCTGCGGCTTGTCGAGCGGCCGCCGCGCGACGTAGTGGTACTCGTCCGTGTCGGTGGTGCAGATGCTCAGGTTATCACCGTCCGCCATCGACAGCGACTGCGACCCATGCAACTTGTCTACAAAATTATTATTCATGACTATCTCAGTACAGAGTAGATATGAGTGCCGCCGCCGCCGACAAATGCAACCGGCGCGCCGTCCGTTCACTTCAGTTCGGTAGAAGGGTAGAAGGGGAGCGCTCTTTTTTAGCAGATTATATAATATAACCTATTTATACAAAAAAAAAAAGACTTCAAAAGCTCGTGAAATTACATCTATTTGTCAAGTTTTAATGAAAAATTAAATTGCTTCGGTGGCCGAACGGTTACCACGATGGACTGCCACGCAGAGGTCCGGGGTTCGATTCCCGGGCCGGGTGGCTGTCCATGTATGTGTTCATGGTATCAGCGATACAGGGTTTCCCTGGTGAGTGTGTGCTCGTTATTAAACCGGAAATTGCACGAAACCGGATTCATCGGAAATTCATTAGACAATATGTGTATCGTACATTTTTCGTAACACAGTATTTGCAAAACGATTTTTCCCGCTTCTTTCTGCTGTGACTCATCTAGCACTATATAATGGTGACGCTGCCGCTAGATATTAAATATTTTGAATACGTTAATCCATCTATCGAAAAAACATGGAGTTCGTCCAGTGAAGTACTGCCACCTTATCTATTTCTGCCGTCAAGCAGTAATGTCAGCATTACTGTGTTCCGGTTTTTTAATGGTAAGGGCGCTGGTGAACTTACAGGCACATGGGACTTGTCGACTTATGTCTCAGGGTAACTAAACCTCTGAATGGCACTGTAACTGTTATGGATAGGCGTCTTGCTGACCATCAGGTTGTAGGCACAAGTTGTTTGTCCACATTTGGTGTTATAAAAAAATATATAATATGGAGATATTTCTCGTTAAGTACTTTGATATTTAATGATAAATTTTGATATTCAGCTGAATCCTTATAGTTATTAAATTCACATTTATCAGAAAACTTGAAAATTACACAGCGGGTTAAGGACACGCAGCGCCGACCACTGCCCCGTCAGTCGCCATCGGGCGCTTGTCAACGTCGGATTTGTGCCAAATTTTCTCCACCTGTTCTTATATTATTCATATTAAGTTTAATTAAACTCACCTCTTGAAATCCAGTCTCGCATTCAAATACCTCGGCTTAATGCAATAATACTAACAACAATAACGCACACACTCAACATAGCCCCGCACTAGGAAAACCCTGTATCGCGGGTGCCATGGACAACCACAAATTACACCCAAATCATCACGAGAGAAGCAAATGTAGGCCATACATACATTTCTCCCGGCCCGGGAATTGAACCTGGGACCTCTGTGTGACAGTCCGGCTTGGTAACCGTTCGGCCATTGAGGCAGTCAAATAGGAGGCAACAGTAATAAAGTATGCTATTTATAAAGTGATACAATAACATCATACTTACTGCGCTTCTTCTTTCTGGGCGGGGCTACGGGTCCGGCCACACTGGCCGGCCGCGGCTCGGCGCTGCTGCTGCCCGACATTGCGACTATGGCAGCAGAGGACCCCCGGTTCTGTTTCAGGCTGTTTGCTTTCGTGCTCGCTATAACGTCTGGTTCTGCCATTGCTAGAACTAATCGAAAAGGTAATTTGAGTCCCCAAAACCATAGCAGGATGTACTGGCCCTGTACTCTCGTTCTCGTTATTTAATTACTGTCAAATAAGTAATACAATGTGTTAACACTAATCACCTCACTTACACTACATATACTCACCTCACTTACACTACGTATACTCACCTCACTTACACTACATTATAATCACATTTTTGGTATTTATTGCATTTTTATTATTATGTATCTATGTTAGGATTAGTTTATGGTTTTGTTTAATATTGTAAGTTTTGATTTATATTTGTAATTAAGTCTTATACCTAATCTTTATATTTCTTTTTTTTATTATTTTATCTTACCGCCTGCTTGGACGAGGCGCCATCTTTCTTTTTGTCCATTTATGGTGCCACTGAAAACCAGCGTAATGAGGCATTCTTCAACGTCTCATTACACAAAGCTGAGTGGTGACCGTTTTGGTAGCATATAATGTATGATTGTGTTTGTTTTGTATTATTTATTGTAAAATGTTGCCAAATAAATTATTTTTCTTTCTTCTTTCTTTCTAATACTCATAGAGTATATAACCCGAAATAGATACTCTTCAGGCAAATGGGCCTCACTTTTAAATATCAAGTCTCGTTTGCGCTGAAATCACAAATTAGAAAGCTGAAATAGTACAGCGCCAACAACTGACCTGTGTGTACGTCGCCATGTATTCCGAAAATATTCTGTATTTATTGTAATAAATATAATATCTCTAACAATGGGGGGCAGTTCCATTCGGTGGTGTTGGAAAAACAGCAAAACATCTAATCAAAGCTCAAGTTAAACTGGTCGATTTGAAGTGAAACAATTGACGACACTCGTCAACTGTTTCGAATTCGGGCTGGCCAATTGGAGCGCAGTTATCACCGTAACGATTTGGCAGAATAGTTTTCAAACAAATTAAATGACATTTCGTCTCTATTTCTGGTTATATAATCGATGGTAATATTTGACCAAAATAAAATATACATGATGCAAATGAAACTTCATATTTGACATAGACTTTTAAATTTGCTCGAGTATTACTTATTTGACAGTAAAGAAAAGAAGTAAAAGAAGAAGGAACAAAGAAGTAAATCTCTATATGCAAAAGTTCTATATGCAAACCAAACGTGTCACATTTTTTGTACATCCGATGACGTAAGAAGCGCTGTTTAATGGTGGGAACTTCGGCACTAATGCGATTAACTAAATCGAAGACGCAGCACGTATTTAGAACAATGATTTTTCAAGTATTTGTTGATCCTAGTTTGTAGAGGTCCTAGTTTGCATAACTATGTCCAAATATTGAATAGCGCGTACACTTATAGATACGCACTAGAGAAACCCTGTATCGCGACACATAGACAATCACAAATTACAGCGAAACTTACGAGAGAAATAAATGTAGGCTATACGAATATTTCTCCCGGCCCGGGAATCGAACCCGGGACCTCTGCGTGGCAGACCACCATGGTAACCGTTCGGCCACGGAGTCAGTTAAGTGTGTTTAAGCATTATTTAGGTGAATAAGCATTATTGAGGTGTGCATGCTCCATCGTCGACCCCATCCGGCTCTCAAGAGGCTACTGCCTCGGGTGAGCCGCCCCGGGTGCACTTATAGTACCCTCCCTATTTTCCAGATAGGTACCGGAGCTGTAGGCACGCTCACTTCCCGTTGCGCAGTGCACAACTAACAGTTGCTTAAACAGATATAACATACCGTTTGGTTGTCTATTGTCGTTGGGCAACGGGTCATCGGAGATCGTAGAAGGTTCCCTTGAAGACAGGGAGAGCGCCGGCGCCGTATCGCGGATGTTGGCTGTAAGAAATATATGCACGAATCGTGTTTTTATTATAATAATAACGCACTTTAAACTGCCTCTGTGGCCGAACGGTTACCATGCCGGACTGCCACGCGGAGGTCCCAGGTTCGATTCCCGGGTCGGGAGAAATATTTGTAAGGCCTACATTTATTTCTCTCGTGAGTTTGGGTGTAATTTGTGGTTGTCTATGTGTGTTTCCATGGCACCCGCGACACAGGGTTTCCCTAGTGGGGGGCTATGTTGAGTGTGTGCGTTATTATTGCGTTATTGCGTTACTCAACATAGCCCCAGACTAGGGAAACACTGTAGCGGGGCGTGGATACACACATAGACAACCACAAATTACACTCAAAACTCACAAATATTTCTCCCGGTCCGGGAATCCAAACTGGGGCCTCTGCGTGGCACTCAGGCATGGTAACTGTTCGGCCACGGAGGCAGTTAATTTTTTTTTTTTATAATATTATTAATATGAACAATTCCTGCGCCTGATGGCTACACGCCTGTCCAAAACAGTTGCAGTGCCACTCAGAGCTTTAAATCGCAAAGATCTCAGAGGCATTGTTACTGCTCCCATCATCCTGAGAATTAAGTTGACAAGTCCCATGTGCCTGTAATTTCACCAGCACCCTTACCCTACTAAATCGGAACGCAGTAATGCTGATATTACTGCTTGGCGGCAAAAATTGATAAGGTGGAGGAGGAGTTGAGGAGCTCTACTGCCATTGACTATTTAAAGTCAATGTCAAATAACCTTTATTTCATAAATAAGCAATCTACTTTTGAAATCGTCACATTGGTTTATTTAACTCTACCGCTCATACATAAGGCAGATCCTCCCGAGAAGAATGAGCAAGAAACGTTGTTCTTTGTAAATAAAAATTTTTATACATTTATCATTTACAGTATTTATTGCAAACATCATAGATCGAGACAATCCGCAAAAGCTAAAGGGGCACTACCACGGCTTTTGTCATCCAAGTTACCAGAAGCTGTATAATAATATTTAGTATAAAGTTTTTGTTTTACTATAGTTGTAAACCGCGTCAAAGGCAAATTTTGAATATCAAATCAAATAATTTATTTAGGGCCCAACAAACAAAACACACAATTAAAACATTGAAATTATAAATCAGTAAATAAAATTTAAAAATTAAAAACTAGTAATAACATAATTGTAACCAAAAATAAATAACTTAAAGGAAAACAAAACTCATTATTATTGAAATAAAATTAAAAATTACAATAAAATATAAAAATCGACAAAAATAATCAAAAATTAATAAAATAATAATCTCAGTACAGAGTACTAAAAAAACCGACCTCAAAAGTACGTAGAATTACATCTATTTGCTAAGTTTCATTGAAATATCCCCTAGTTCGCCACTATACAGGACTTGATACTGGAGATAATAAAAATCGGTTCTCACTACTCAAAGTATATTGAGAGAGAAAAACGCCTTGAATTGGAGAATAGCAAAACCAACCATTACAATAATTGCTCCTTAAGTAAAATTTAGGCGCTAATTATAAAAATGATTCATGCGTTATCAGCCACCCTTAGAGGTGGATGATTTTCTTCAAAATGAAATGGGATCACTATGGAGGTACTCTCTTTCCAACAAAAAAAGAATCATGAAAATCGGTTCATAAATACCGGAGTTATCGCGTACATACACAAAAAAAAAACATACAGTCTAATTGAGAACCTCCTCCTCTTTTTAAAGTCGGTTAAAAATCAACCGGTATCTTATTAAAGAATATATATTGCTCCTTAAATTAATTATTTAAACTTTTTTGCACAATACAATAAAGTAGAAAAGGCGGACTTAATAGCATAAGGTATAATCTGCCAATTAACAATTGAGGCAATGAGGAAAAAAAACAATAACCTATTGTTATTTGTTATAATAACAAAATACCATAAGCCAAATTTGATAGTTAATTTATATGGTATAAAATAAATATACTATACCATATACACATTTTGTAACATACACAGGGTTACTTGTATTTTTTTTTAATAATATCAAGTGACGGGACGAGCAAGTCGTGCGCCTGAAGGTAAGCAACACGCCTGTCCGTAACAGTTGCGGTGCCACTCAGAGCTTTAAATATCACTAAGATCTGAGGGGCACTGCCACTGCGCCCGTCACCCTGAGACATAAGTTAATAAGTCACCTGTTTGGCGGCAAAAATAGGTAAGGTGGCAGTACTTCCCTGGACAAATTCTTTCACAAGGAACTCTATTCAAAAACTCTATTAACAAAAATATTAACAACCTTGCAGGGCTATATTACTAATGTCATAAACAACAACTTTTGTTCCATTACTTTTTCCAAAACGGTAAGTAGTAAATTGACTAAAAATAAACTTTAAAATTTTTGTTGTGCTATCTATCATAACTACCTTCGCAAAATTTGCATTTCGGTCTATCTATCGAGATATTGGCAACTAAAGTTTTATTGTCTTGTGTCACTCGCACAAGATTATGCGATATGAGCAGTCAGGCTCCGCACGAGTGCACACGGCGGGCAACGTTATTTTCACTTCTATGAGCGCGTGTTTAGGTTCCCTTTTCATCGTAATGAGCGCTTGGTGTCATTAGTCACATTTAGAAGGTTATTATAGCGCAGGTATTTTCGATTTTGTATGAGAGTGACGATCTGTTACGTAGTAACTATTGAGTAATCTGTGCTGAGACTATAGCATGGTTTTTTAAGACGGAGTAAAATGACATTTGTACGATTGACAGCTTTCATAAAATTTTAAATAGTTATATAGCTATTGTCGATACTTTTATCGATAGATTGTCAAAGAAGATAAATTACTGCCAAAAATGACAGTGCTGTGAATGTTACGACGTTCTAATGACTACTAATTTCGTTATTACCTTCTTTGTTCTTATTTTGACAGTTAGTCTAATAGTATCGCGATCAATTTTTATTCACATACATTTTAACAAGAATAGCCGGATTTGATAATGTACATTGAATTAAAATTAAAAAGTATAAAATATGTCTCCTCTTTGTATTTTTCATAAACTCAGTTCTAAATACAGTGCGTATTTGTATGAACTTAAAAAATTGACAACTTAAATGAACTTGTTTTCAATTTGGATGAATAATGGGTTGAGGATGATTCAAATAACGCACACTTTTTTTTTAAAATGCACTTAACATAGCCCCGCACTTGGGAAACCCTAGGTCGCGGGTGCCGTGGACACACACAGACAACCACAAATTACACCTAAACTCACGAGAGAAACAAATGTATGTCATACACATATTTCTCCCGGCCCGGGAATCGAACCTGGGACCTCTGCGTAGGTATAGTAACCGTTCAGCCACGGAGGCAGTTAAATGAAACAAGTTCTGCTATTTATTCCATAAGCATGACCAATATTCAATCGATAATCGATAGAATATTTATCGACTGCAATCACTAGCTGCTCGCAAGCGAGCAACACTTTTGCGTAATGAACTGTCATTTTACTGTCTTCAAAAACGACAGGACTATAAGTAAGATAATAAAAAATCAATTAGAAGGGGTTGTAAATCTCCTGTCGCTGAGATATCGATGCCTTACTTTCTGAAACTCGTATCTTTTAAAGAATGATTATTCAGAAGATGGCAAATCTTTATATTTATTTTAAATTTCTCATTAGTGTGTTAAATTGGATGAATTACTTTAAGAATAGATAAATACTAGTGTGTGAATATACAGGAAATGTGATGTGAAATTAGACTGCAAAATTTTGTATATACAATGCATTTTTTGCATATCAGTAACTTTGTGCGTTAACCCATTAACGCCCAAATAGAAATTAGCGTTAAAAAAAACTTAATATTTTATGAACCTTTAGAAAATAACCTACTTGTGAGAAAATTATGAAGAAAAAAAAGATTTTATTTTATTTCATATGAAAAAAAATACCGTCCTCAAATGGGGACAATGGGTTCAAGCAGTGTCAAAAAATTTGTACCAATATTTTGTCGGTGCAGAACGACTTGTTGCACTTTTTATATTGCCAACGCGCTTATTTGTGGCTCTACAACTGTTTGCACTTCGTAACTGTTAAAATACAAGTTTCAGAAAGTAAGGCGACGTAATGTTAATAACTGAATTTCGTTAAAAATTCGATTACATTAGTTTATGATAAGTATGGCAGCATAGTACACCACGTTGGCCCAGTACTGGTTGGGGCCAGACACGCGTCTATTATTCAGTTCTAAACAATGCTCATAAAAATATATTAAACACAATGCACTCGCAAATTGTACTTACGATGAGATTCTGAAGCACCGCTGAGTATTCTCCCTATTCTGCCAAGTGAAGTCATACTTTGCAGACTCATTGTATCGTGTGCTATTATTCTGCAATTTTAACAAGAAACAATAATAAATTCGCAAGCCTCGTGAAGCTAAATATATTTCGTGTATTTTTAGAAGGAAAATTTGTAAAAGATTCTATTTATGATACCAAATAACGGGACGAACACGGCGACACACCTGTCCATAACAGTTGCAGTGCCACTCAGAGCTTTAAATACAGACATATGGCGAACGGCTATCGAGTGGAATTCCTTGCCTGCACACTTAGGGTCGTATTCTAGAACTCTACTCAATGCTCAAGTCAGGATTTGAGTATGGTTTAAAGCACTCGAAATCATACTCAAGTCCTTGCTATTAGGGTCGTATTTCCAGTGCTTGTGTTTCCATTGCAATCCTGACTTGAGCATTGAATAGAGTTCTAGAATACGACCCTTACTCTCTGAACGTTATAACTTGGGCCTTTTCAAGGCGAGAGTGAATAGGGATTATTTAGGCGTGCATGCTCGATCGTCGACCTCATCGTCATTTTCCATCAGGTGAGATGGACGTCAAATGCGCACTTACATTTTATTTAAAAAAAAAGGTCTGAGGGGAACTGCCATGAGCCCATCAACCTGAGACATGATTTGACAAGTCCCTTGTGCAAGTTCAACAGCACCCTTACCCTTCAAAACCGAAACAATAACGCTTTGCACATTACTGCTTGACGACAGAAGTAGGTAAGGTGGTGGTGCTTCTCTGGACACACTCTTAGGCTGTAATGTCCTAGGTTTTTCTTCTTCCATGACACAGCGTAACGACAAATGTTTACGTGTAAAGAAGATTCAAGTAAGGCTAATATGCTCAACCTGTATTAAAATCTTAATCAGATTATCAACCACAAGCAAATGTATGCTGTACAGTAACCCTAATGTAAGTGTTGAGTGTTGGATGTGGCAGAAAAAGCATAAAAGCAGATTGAACGCTGTGGAATATTAGAATACACAAGAATATCATTTATTTCTTATAAATATGGTACAATAAAATTAGATTTTGCAACATAAACAAGTTCACCATAGTTCGCCAACATGAAAATGTCAAAATAAATTCTTGTCAAAAATAATATCTCGCGCCTTATGTCATTCTCGCGCAAGTCGCGCCTTTTTGTGATAGCCCTACAGATTTACGTTTAAATATAATAATAAATAATAACGCACACACCCAACATAGTCCCGCACTAGCGAAACCCTGTGTCGCGGTTGCCATGGACACATAGACAACCACAAATTACACCCAAACTCACGAGAGAAATAAATGTAGGCCCGGCCCGACAATCGAACCTGGGACCTCTGCGTGGCAGTCCGGCGTGGTAACCGTTCGGCCACCGAGGCAATTATATTAAAATAAAACTTAAAATACCATACAATTAAGTAATTAAATGTTGTCATATTCATTACTAGCGTAATAACATTTATCAATAAATAAATGTCAGATTTTTTTTGAATAATGCTAATAGTAGAGATTTTACATTTTCTGGTAGTTTATTGCAAAATTTCAGTGCTATGCCACCTGCTCTCTTTCCTAACAAAGCTGTATTGTACTTTTAAAGACGAATTGCCGAACAGTGTGGTAAGTGGGCATTGTGGTGTGAAAGATGACGTAGTAACCAAGATAGAAAAAGAAATCTATACACAGGTGTATCAGAAGGTATCTACAATCGCGATAAGCAGTGCTAGCATGACATCGCTCGACTTGTACGAGAAACGACATATGGCAAAATCATAGGTAAAATTAATTCGTTAGCGTCTTCAAATATCGAGTATATAACCTGAAATTGAGACGAAATATCATTTAATTTATTTGAAAACTATACTGCCATTGCGGTGACAACTGCGCACCGATTGGCCAGGCCGAATTCGAAACAATTAACGGGTGTCGTCAGTTATTTCACTACAAATCTACCAGTTTAACTTGAACTTTGCTATAATGGCCGTAAATTGAAAAATTAGATAATTTAATATTTAATTACCGATGAAATGTGATTCCGTTTGTTTTGTAATTAGATATTTTGCTGTCTTTCCCACACCACCGAATGGAACAGCCCCCCATAGTTATTAGAGATTATCATTATCACAAAAAATACAGAATATTTTTGGAATATACGGAGATGTACACACAGGTCAGTTGTTGGCGCTGTACTATTTCAGCTTTCTAATTTGTGATTTCCGTGCAAACGAGAATTGATATTTAAAAGTGATATCAGTACCGTTTGGTATAATGGTCGAGTTGCTAGGGATGGATGGCAACTCATCAGTCATTACATTATTGCCGCTCTATTTCTGATTATATACTCGATGTCTTCAAATGTCTTAATTACAACGAGTTTTTCAATTTATAATAGCGGCCTATCTAAGTCTGGAAATAAAATCAGACTTAAAAGAAAGTCTAATGACTAATTACTGATAACTACAACTATCAGTTCGTGAGTTGCGTGACATCTAGCAGTCAAAAAAGGAAATTCAGTAGCTGCGTATGGATATGGTCCACATTTAGTTCACGTAATATCAAATGTACTATTTCGATCGATTTGTAATAAGCTAATAAAAGATTAGCTACTTCATTACAAAAAAAAAGTGGATAATTTCTCCAACTTTCTCCAAAATGCCACGCGAGAAAATAGTAAAACTGACAAAAAAGTTCCCAAAATCAGGGATAGATGGCAAGTTTTACAAAAAAATAATTTATGTCCGAGTTACCAGTGCAATAGTCTGTGGTATGTTATTAATTAACTCAATTTTTTTTGTTATGGCTTACCTTCATGCGTTTTGATCATACCAGTATACAAAATAATTTTCTCTGAACTTTCCTGATGTCACATATCCACTGCACTATTCAGCTTCTATTAACTCTCGTTTATTTTGATATAATAATGAAACAAATATATTTTATTCGATTACGTAACACATAACCTCCAAAACTTCAAACTGGATCTTTTAATTGCTGACTTCTCAGAACAGTAACACCAAAACAAAATTTGTCCAGGAATTTCAAATCTATATTTTCACAAATTTTTCATAAATAGACGCATACAAATTATGTTCACAAAAATTTATATGGGAGATTGCCATTGTGCTTTAAATAATACAGGCAAAAAACCTAGCATTTGCAAGAAAATCCAGACTTTTTAAAAACAAAATAAAATCGAAAATCTCTCTCTCACGCGGCAGCAGATATAGACGAGCAACAACATTTTTGTCGTAAATTTCGATTTACAAAATAACAAAATTTTTCATTTAAAATTAGTTTTTGCGGGGTGCATATTTGGCAAGACTTACTTAAAAGGCTGCTCTAGTGCATAGGCCTGGTGTTCCATGGACCCTGCTGCGTCAAGCACACCCTCGTCTTCCTCCTCGGTCTGCATACATCGCCGCAGCTCTTGGAACCTTCGCCGGCCTTGAACAACCTGTTAAGAGAATCCACAATTTCGGCCATTGATAATAATTTGCTGGCACAGTTGCCTTTTTTTCAGTATTTTTTTAATGTAGTCTGCTTCAAGAGTACCTAAGTCCTGTTGTTGTGTCGGACTCCTCTTTTGATTCGGGTTTAGTAGTAATTTCTATCAAAATGAATCAAAGGTTACAATAATAAATTCTGATATACTCAGTTACTCACATTTTTAACAGTATTTCTATCATCCTCAACTGGAGTGACTTCTGCAGCAGAGTTACCGGAGTCTCCTGCTGCTGTTACGGTCTCCTCCTTTTGTTCTGCCCGCGTAGGTGTCTTTTCCTTTTCTTTGCCAGTACCTTCTGTGACATTTATATTTCTGCATAGTGATGATCTCCTGTTAAAAATTGATAAAACATTTTATTCAGTTTTTAAGTTGTTGCGCGATCTCATGTTTGTTAAGCTAGACGAGCATCATAATACACTGATGCCACAGCTTATGGCACGAAGCTGTAGCAAATGACTCAAAAAGAAAGATGTCCAGTGGAGAGGGACACACTACACGCCATTGAACCTGGAACACATTTGCTTATAGTGAAAAATACTGGTTGCAATTTAAATACAAAAAAAAAACCTCATGTTTATGCACGGAGCTATAAAACAGAAACGGTGAAGTAAACAATAATATATTAGAGAACAAGATCACATAAAGTTTTTCTGATCCCAAAGTAAGTAGCTAAAGCACTTATTTTATGGAAATCAGAAATAACAACTGTACCTCAAGCACCCAGACCCGAGACAATACAGAATAGCTAAGTTTTCGACGTTAACCTAGCCGGGGATTGAACCCAGGCCTCAGAGATGGAGATACCATGAAAACCGGTGTGCATGCCACTCGGCCACAGAGGACGTCTATTATTAATAGTTACAGTTAAATAAAATTAAGATCATCATAACTAGTATTTCAATCTTATTTTTAATAAAATGTTATAAAGAAAACACGATAAACTGCTCCTGAATTTATATGCAGTACTGCAGCTTACATATCTGAACTGAATACCTGGCTCTCTTTTTCACAAAAT